TCTTTCTTGACGAACAATGAAGATGATCCTTTCATAAATCGTGAAATACTCAACCTTGTCAGCCGGTTACAACCAAGGTCAGTGAATTAATGTCGTGGACTTCAAAGCAAATGCAACATATCGGCTTAACTTAGAAATTACAGCTCACTACCATATAATAAATTAATAGAAATTTGTAATGCATATATAGAGGAATTTTCAGACACACATATATTACACCTGTTTACTCGCCAATATATGTTGAAGTCGCTTGCCATTTTAAGTAAATCAACTGTACAAAGATCAAACGTTCGCATGTATTCAGAGATCCTGGTTTATTTCATGAAACACTATTATGTGTCAACCACCTACCTTTCAAATACCAAGGTCCAGTGCTATCGGGTAACACCTTTATTAGTTATGGTTAAATTAAATTAAGTTTTATAATGAACTTTTAGACTTAGGACAGCGTTCACACAACTGTGCTAAATTTGGCTAGAGTTACAATCGACGACATCCAGTATCGCTGAGGATCTGTTGGCAGCTTCCTCATAGCTTCTATTTCCTTGCTGCATACATGAGGACACAGATTTGTTCAGTCTACCATGGAACTGGCTCTATTGGTTGCTAATTACCTTAGTGTAATGTTTGCATTCACTAGTGATTCTTTGTACTTGATGATTTTCTGATTTTGAATTCCGAACACATTAAGTTCATTTGTGCTCATCTAGTTCTACCTGCTGTAAATTTCACTATTTCAGGAATTCCTTGTTAGTATAACAATTCTATAATTCTAATCATCACACCTTGACTGTGTCAGCAGACAGAATATAAGAGTGGATTTGATCATCTTTATTTACCTTAGAAGTTTAAAAGGGCTGCAATTAAACGCAACTCAATTTCGTAAATGTGCCCTTCAGCTTAGCAACCAATCAGAATGAGGCGGGAATTATTACATCCGCCATCTTTGTAAGCAATGGCGGCTGGCCTTCGTTCTGTGCTTCTTTCAGCTATTTCTTTTGTGTAGCTGTGTAATTTAATGTCTCAGTGTGCTAAAATGCCACAGTTACTGTAATGTATTATATATTGGTGTGAAGTTTATTTCGAATCAGCGATGTTTTCTAAGTTTTTGCTGCTTCTACTCAAGTCAATGTATTTCTTCAGGCGATCTGGCTAGTCTTGTGTTATCGGCAAAACGAAAGGAAACAATCTGCGCTTTTTTTAAATTTTCTTCAGTATTATGGACAACACTATCCCACCAACGAGTCAAACTAATACAGAGTGCCCAGCAGTAGGGTATATCGGTACTGATTTCGAAAGGACCCAGACTTCCGACAACTATAGATGAAGTCACAGATGCTACCATTCTATTGCAGAGGGTTTGTTATGAAAAATATGCCATATAGCAGTAATATAGGGGTTGTACTCACTATGCAGTGTGTTAAAGCAAGCTTAACATTGAAAAGCCGGAAATCTGCTATCAGTGTGTAGTGTATGTTTGCTGTTTTGGCCATAAAAGGAAGCCGAAAGGTCATGATCAGGGAGTAAAAAGGTAATTAACTGTTTATTAAGCTCACTTTTTTATAGATCATATTTCACCACTCGCAAATTTGTGTTTTTTACGATATGATGTCATCTGGCACCTATGTTCACCCTTACGACGAAAAGTGCCTGAAAATTTTCACCTTCATATTCGAATTATTTTTGGACAACTGTCTTACAATCTGAGTGCTTCGTACGCCCTGGGAGACTAGATTCCTACATTATTCGTAGTTGCAGTATAACTTTCTCACGCAGTAAGTTCAAATTAGACACTAGTCTTTCTAAATAAGCCTTTTAAGCTAATATCCGTATTCTCTATTTCAGCTAATCGATGAAGACATGTACCACGTGCATCTGCTGTATTCTGCCATTTTACTCCAATTCTAACTGTTATATCTTACTTTTGAATAATAAAATTGCTATATGCTGCAGATACAGACTTATTTGTTTTGATGAAGGTAAAGGGGTTCATGGGATTTTCAGCAGGACCGTATTAATATTCTCACTAAAGAGCTCAGCGAGTGCGTAAACCAGTGTAAGGTATCATGCGGGGTGCATTTTAGTTACTAGTGTTCCATTAGTGCGGGTAGGGGCAATGCTTGCCTGTCATTTGAATTAGAAGCTATAAGATAAGAAGCAGGTACGGTTAGGATGTGTAACGCGTGTCCATCCATCAGCTGCCGTGACAACCCATGGTGGTTAGAATAAGTTATGAGAGGACCCGAGTATGTAAGTCTCGCAAGAAAATGACGAAGATATGCACCAAATCACCTTATGAAAAGCGCCTTCAATCACTTAACCTCTACTCATTGGAGTATAGACGTCTTATAGGTGACCTAATGGCTTACAATAACCCTAACACTTCTGGACATCCCCTAAAACACCTACTTAAGCTTAGTCCCAGAAACCAGCGACACAACATGGCAGAACGGACTGTAGACGCAACTCCTACTCCTTAAGAGTTGTCAAATGCTGGCATCCGCTGCCCGCCGAGCTAATCCAAGCGACTTCCCAGGAGTCCTTTAAGAGGCAAGTGTATCTATTCTTAAGGGTAGTATCATACTATGATTTACCAATTCCTCTTTCCTCTTTTATTGTTAACATATCTAGGTTCCTGCCTGGAGGTTTTGGTGACCCCCCGCTACTAGACACGGAAGCCTGTTAAGCGAAAGCTTCTATTAAGTCCACAACCATTTGAACACATGAACTAGGTGCTGAGAGGCTCGCTTATCACAAGTTTCTTGCAACGATTAAGTAGATAAAACAAAATAGCATTAGATTCAAAAATTTATTCAAGAACTTTCATTAAGAATCGAATATCAAACAAAGGTTTAAACCAAGTCCCCGTTTAAAAGTTGTATTGGTAATGTTAAGCTGCAGTTTTTGTTGTTTTTTTCCAAACGAAAGAGTAAAAGAAGTCAAAAAATACTGGAAGTGGTTGTGAGACTAAAATGGACGTCTAGCATCCTTTTTATAATCTGCTATTCGTTAGGCCTCCCGTAATCAGTTCCATAGGACCATAGTTCCAAGGGCGAAACAGTTTTTAGGGTCTGTGAAGGCACTCCTGTTGCATTCTAAATGAAAAAAATAGTGATGAATTTAGTCAGAAATGTGGAATAGATAAATAACCAAATTACATGTTTTGTTAGCAAAGAATTTATGCAGTTGTGATTTACCTTGAGTTCATGAATATTAGATAAGGTCAGCTACTATTACTTGCGCAAAGCACAACATGGGCTTAGTACCGTATTGCAATGTTTTTATTATTTTGCTCCCATTTAAGTATTCCCATGCATCTGTGTCTAGTTTAACAGGAAAACATACAAGCAGAGTAAGTGTCTGATAAACTAAAAGTCCCAGTTGTCAAAAAGATTCTTAACATTTGTCCACAGCCAGCTGCATTTAATTGAGACACAGAAAACTCATCTTCTAAGACTGTATACTGCTGTTTTACGGGCAACTAAAAGCTCAGACACTTAGCTATCTTGCTACCGATGTTATTGCTGGGGAAATTATTTAGTGACAGTTATCATGAAATATGGTCAGTGATAGATGTACAGTTTAGAAATAAACACCAAACATACTTATCGCTATCTTATAATGTATGACAGCAACAGCATCAAAGGCACGTTTTTTCCTATTTTTAATCAGACTGATCTGAATCCGTATACACATTAGAAACAGGCAACTCTACTTAATAAACCGATCTGTTTCGTTACAGGTTTCAAGCACTATACTTAAGTATATCATAATTCTTTCAACTAAACTGAATTATACGACAACCACGAACATTAAACTAAGCAATTGTCATAGTTATTGTTTCACTTGCAAAGACATGTTGCTCAAAGTAGTTAAATGGACATAATTAAGCCGATAAAACTAAAACAGGAAATATAGGCCAGTTGAACTTACCTAAGAAAAAAAGAAGGTTACATATATACTGCTTTCATACTGAAGACAACAGGCAGTTGTTCATAGAAACATAGTTTACAGTACAACAAACCTTTCTTCAGTAAATTCATGCACTGACAGTCTATCTGGAAACAATCAACTATGTGAATAAACTCACTATGACTTGAGACATCATCACAGCGTGCAATGGACGTACAGTGTAACGCAGTCAGACGTGGCGAATAAAAATTAAAAACAGAGCAAAATTAACTACATAATCTAGTTATTTAATTAAAAATACATTATGAAATGACAAAATCTGTGGTTACTTGAACGCACAAATGACAGTGTGCGATACATTAAGTTTACATGGTTGCGTTGCGGATAAGATCACCCGTTTAAAAGGGAGCTTACCTGTTTGTTTTGCATCCTAAATATTCTGACAATTCATTGTCACTTAGTTTGATTCACCAAACACCCTTCTCTTCAAGTGACTTCAGGTTACAAAGAAGCATACTAAAAAATATATAATGCATTTGTATGCGCATTCTCATGCATTTTACAAATCTATCCAATTACGTCTAAAATCCAGGGTTCAACTAAACCAACAAAAGTCCTAAAAAAGAGTGCTCATTGGAATCATGTACTTTTCCATGGTCTAATTGTAGAATAAGAGGCTGAAGAGAACGAATTTAGAAAGAATTTGAGATTGCTACTGTTTGAATCTCTGCTGGAAACAATGATAACAAAGCCTAAAAATTAGAATTTGATGGTCAAGGGATATCAAAGTTTATTCAAATTATTGAGCAAGGTATTTAAGGTGACTAGTTTTTATAAGTGACGCTTTAGACGGAGTATAGAGACGTTTTTGAGGGGGATATTTTCCACAGATAAACATCAGTGATATTTAGCAGTTCTATGGGTGTGAAAACGTTCTACTATTACTTAATATCTTAAATGAATGTGTTATGTTCCACCTCATAGACAAGCTGGAAGTTAGTTTATGCACTTTCCCTTCAGTGGAAATCGACACACAGTAAAGTGATGACAACTGTCTCAGGTAGTTATTTCAAAGTGGAATTAAATCCTTATGAAAACATTTACTCTACAAACTGATATACACTGACTGACTTACTGCTGTGATGTCCAAAAATGGTAAATTGAGTGACATTAACAGGTCATTTGTTTTAATTTGTCAGCTTCAAAGTGTAGTCAATAGCAAACTTCAGGACAGATTTAAATTAAATAAAATCTGACTGAGCAAAGTCATGAGAAACGAATCGTCCAAATTATGCATTTGCCAAATATGTCACTGTAGGTAAGTTATATTTTGATAATCCTATATTACACTTAATATTTTATCGAACTTTTCAAGTCTTCTATTCGTATTTTCCATGTATTCGAGATATTAATTAATTATTCATCTAATGTCAACCCACATTCTGCTCTGGATCAATCGTTAGGCATAAAAGTGTGTATGTTATATGTATGATGCATGTTTTTGTAGATGTTACAGTTTCGGTAGATTGTGATAATTATCAAAATGTGGTGTAAAATAGTGTATGACTTCAGTTTCTCACCACATTTGTGTCGAGAAACATTTCATTTATAGTCTTTATATGCCTATTTTATCTCTAGAGGAACTTTGGTTGAAGTGTAAAGGTCTATCAGAAACTTATTTTCAGCACCATTTTCTCAAAGATAAAGACGTTTTTATGCAGGTCTACATTGAAACCAGTCGTTTTTCTAATAATTTTAGAACTACGAAAGTTATTTTTTAATTTTTTCGATAAAGTAAAGTTTTATTGTGTACTTGTTTTTTATCAAAGTGCTACATCCTCGCCGTGCTCAAAAATAATTTTCAGCTGTGAATTACAGTGCTATTAGTAAGTAATAAAACTAAACCTCGAGGTAAATATGTAACTTTGATATTCGACCAATATCTAGATTCGCTTTGACAAAACATGGACATCGCAAACTTTTAAGTTTTTAGAAAAAACTCCAACTAACTTTTCATAGCCGCCATAAATCTAACCGTCTTATGGTGATATTTCAGGTTTAAATAGTATTTGCTGTGGTCTGTTATAAAAAATATGGATCCAAACAAACTTGTTGCAAATCTCTTACCACATCCGCAAAGGTATCTTGAAACCAAAACTTAATATGAACACAGTAAACTAGAATAAAAAACTATCAAACGAAAAGTGGCAATGTAATTTTAACCAGTTTTGGAGTAGTCCATAATTGTGTTTATACAGTAGAAAGACATCTACCTTTTTGGAGGGCTATATACTGATTTTTAGATAACAAAACAGGCGTCTGTAGAGGAAGGTGCTGAGTTTGAGCTCTGATGTAAACATCAACAATTTGATACGGACAATTTCAGATGACAAGTCCCAAATGGAAAGAAACGTGCGTCCTGAATTTTATGGTTATTTTCACATATTCTTACCTCACTACTTATGACTTGATGATCATGCAAAGACAATCCTTATAAAATGCTCATATATCAAAGACGAGCGATCAGAATTCAGTTTTTGTCATCAACAACAGAAAAATTCAAATATTTACAAACAAATATTCTGTCGGCTGATTCAAACTGCGTAAGAAAGCTTTCGGCCTAGATGTTGTTCTACTTGACAAGTAATCAGCAAAACCGATGTTCAATCTTGATAAAACTAGGGCAAAACGTGAGGTTCAAACTCGAGTCAACTATTGTGGCATACGGAAACATTTTTATCAGGTTAATTGAATTAAAATGGTCCTCATTTCAGATTCAGGTTTTCATCAGTCAGTCAGTCAGTAACAACGTAGAACTTCGTACGTACGTACATCAGTTCGAGTTGCCATACCACATTAGCACAAAGATGCGGTTGTCGATTCAAATCCCGTAGTGGTAGAGGTAGTAAGAGTATAAGCAGTAATCGGGAAGATTAGGGTTTGGAGATGTTATTTAGAGAGTATAATCCAGTTAAATAAATTTGGAAAGTGGAAAAAGGGACATGAAGAATTCAGAAGATTAGAATTCGGAAGAACACAAAGAGTGGATGCACCTGCGCCATTGCAAACGATTTTGAGCCATGTCATTCAAGGTCTCTAACCATCGGTTGCTATCATCTCGCGGTCCCCAGCCAGGTAGTCTACACCTACCAACATGACTCAGGTTTTCATACTGGTCTGTCACTAGGTACTTTCAGGTTGTTTAGCCCTAATCACACCTCAGTCTTGCGCCAATTAACTAGGTGACTGAACTGAATTTAGTTAATAAAATTTGACTGTCATCATGAGCTGAACGATGTAACATTGATTACTACTCACTGGTCGACAAATATAACATAAAACCACCAATCCTTAGTTCGGATTAACTTAATTTAATGAGTGCATCAGATAATTTTTTACTGTGAAACTACAATAGACATCTGTTAAATTTATTGACAACAAAGGTTAACGTTTTACTTGGTTGTATGTATAAATCTAGTACAACTGCAAGGTATTACAAAACAAGTAAATTATTGGTTGGAAAAACAAATTTCGTTTTTAAACGTAAAGACATGATAAAACGCTATCAACTTATTGAGTAATAGTTCAGTCCAATAAAATAAACTGTTGTCTTGTGCAGTCAGCCGCTTCAGGCACTACTTCTAAATACTCGAAGTCAGTTGGTATCGATAAATTTTAATATCCTATGATAGTATGCTTATAATTAACACTTAAAGGTATCTATTAAATGACGAGTTGCAAAGTTGGGAAATTCAAATGCGGAAATAAAATTAACTTTTGTCTGATATAATAAAACCAAAAACAAGTTTAGAATATCCCCACTATTGAAGGATATCAAAATGTTTGACTTGGTTTAACTGAATTACTACGCTTATATGTGTTTGAATATCTGACTAAACTTTAGGCTTATTAGTTATGATATAAGCCAGAAAGCAATGACTGCAACCAATAGGCAATATAGCGCTCAAACAGTGCAAATAATTTAACAAATTCTAAATTTCAGAATGTTCTTCACTGTGAACAGCTTTCTCCTTTCTTTCCTGATCGACCTGTTTTGTTATTTATGCTGTCTTGAATTATTACTGTTCTTAATAGCCATATCAATTTCATTTTTCTCTATTGGTCTAAATAGTGCTTTTAAGTGAATACAAGTTGGTTAAAACAATAAATTTTGGTGACCTCAAGAACAACTTTGAAACTTTTATGATGCACACCAACCGGTAAACGAGAGCTGTTAATAATTATGAGAAAACTCAATATTTACAACGTTTTCACACAGGTTATGTCTTCTCAAAATTGATGATAGGTTTTGTTTCGAAATCGGCGTATTTTTAATGTCGAAACCGCTTCATTAAAATACCGTGTCAGTTTCCTGACAAGTAATTTGTAGTACCATGAAAGACTTTATAAATTATGCCACTCAAGCTTCCACAACCTTTACCAGAACTCCACGAGGGTCGGTTAAATGATTATGTGCGACAACGATCCAGGAGTTGAATATACAGATATTTTGATATATTTAGACATATGTACGCCACGAACGTCCCAGATATTTACAACGTCACTATACTAGGTGAATGGAATTCCAGAAATTCCAGATGATTTTCAAAACCATAAATCTTATGTCAATCTACAACCAACAAACACATCGCGATAAATTCAGCTTGCCAATTAATACAGAAAAGGTCTATCAATTACATATTCAGAGGTCCGTTAAACAAAATAGTTAATGAAAATGCAAAGATAGTAAACCGATTATAGGGTTATCAGGAAGAATTGATTTAGTGATAGTAGAACGGTTTACACGAAATTCACATATATTTGAAGTATGCATCCATTATACTGTCCTTAGCAATAATAAAATTATTGTAATTTTAAGCCTTCTAACTCAGAGGACTCATTATACCACCAACAAAATAACACACCTTTTCTTATGAATACTAAGTATTTTATGCACAAGTATACTCTGAAATGCTACCCGCTAGATGTGTGATAGTATCAATGTATAAAAGTTTCCTTAGAAAAATCAAAACTCATTTACTCTATTGTGATTGGTTGAGTGGTATAATATAGTCAAGTTTTTAATCAGTTTTATACTTTTGAAGGACAAATTATAATGTTACTTATTTATCATGTTAATCAACGATATTAAATTTAGGTGTTTTCCTATAATTAGTTTATATGGACTCATTGTGATACATTAATGATTGTTTTCCTTAAATATTTGGGCAACTATTGTATCGCTGTTTTGTTTACCAAATAAATAGCCGTTGTGAATTGAAAGTACAGTAAAATTATTTTATCTATGTATCTTACTATTGTTTAATGGAATAATCTATTTTTGTCAAATATATTGCAGTGTTATCTCAGTTAGTAGGTACAAAAGGGGAAATTATCTATGGAACGAGATACTAACTCCAGCATATATACATATGGTGTTTGGCGAAAAGTTATATGAACATTAGTGATTATTATTTTTTTACTTTTAGTGGTGGTATTGGCTGCTTAGGAGTGTGACTGTGAAGCCTGAGGGACAACTGACTGAGGCCGATCACTCATCGCCTGTATACAAGTAGTTTTTGATGTGTTAAATCCATACCTTAGCACATGTGACCGAAAACCGTGGAGAGTGGTGGGATTTTTTATTTTTAGAGCCAACCTTTCTTAACAACCTCTAGATTCTATATGTCTGAAGGAAACGTCCTACTGCTACTACACTCGACCAAAGTCAAGAATATGACATCACCGTCGCACCTTCCGTTTCTATTTTAATTATTCTCATTTCACAACAAACCTATCTGGTATATTAAGACCTAAACCAACAATTGTTTTGGCCAATAAAACTCAACTGAGTCATCACAAGAGAAAAGGTCTATCATCGGGTTAGTATAGTAGTCACGGCCTTTTTCGCTTCTAGTGATGCCACTACTGTTTCCGCCACTTCAGCATTCTCTTGATGATTTCATGTTGCTATCCTCGTGTGGTGTTGAAGCGATACACATATGTATCAGGTTCAACGTTACCTATGACTATTTAAAGTTTTCAGCTTGGAAGATATTTTTCTCATAGCTAAACATCAGTCGGGGTACCATCAAAAATCAGTTAACGCTGAACAACTACTTTAAAATTGAACTACCTTACAAAAACCTCTCGATTATTTAGCAGTTTTGTCTTCACTAGTAGACTAGTTTGAGATGAATTCCTGAACTTTTGGAGAGAAGTCAAAACTTATGTATTTTCAGTCACATCAACAGATGTGAAGCAGTCACCGACGAATTAAGTGAATTAATTTTTGTACTATATTGCTAACAAATTGGGTTTGAAGATGCTTATCAGTAAATGCCAAACCAGTAGTCTAAATGGTTAAACATCAACTGGTAGATATGAAACCCCTGATTTTTATCCTCGGTGGGATTATAATGTGTTCACTCTTGTAAAGAGTCCTATAATAGGACGAAACAGCTTATTAACCATTTTTGATTTTCATTAACACCATTCAACTAATATTTGACCGTGAGAAAACTATCTTCACTGTACTTATAAAGATTTCCTAAAATAAATAAATTTCTTCCGATAATTTACTCACTATTTCTTTTGAGATTACCAATCAAATAAAGATACTGATGTGGGGAATTGTCACAAGTTAGAATGGATGTATAACTTATTTTGTTTAAAATGTGACGGATTATGTTGGGAAATATTTTTATCCCTTATTAATGTCACTGAGATGTTAAAAATAAGCGGTTAAAAATTTTTCATGAGATAAATTTAACATGATCAAAATGGTCGAGATGTATATATTGATTTTTCTATTTTGCACTTCGACAAATCGCCTGAACCCATTATTATATTAAAAACAATTTAACCTATCTATTTTATTTAAACACTGATAAAAGTAGTAGTGGAAAATCTCTGATGGTCTCGGATCCTATTTGCTCAGTAGTTTCAGATTTTGGAGCTTTCTTTCTCATTTTGGACAATAAAATCACCAGTCCCTACTTCATTTAGAGGTAAGCCTTTCAATTGCTATACAGTCATCAGTAATAGGTTGTGGAGATTGTTGGATTTCATGAATCGACCAGAGTTAGACAAATATAAAAAAACTCGAAACATGAGACAGTTGTTCTATCCTAGCGTGAAACCCCTCAGCAATGCGCATTCACGACAATTGATTTCTTAATGTGCAGTTGATAGACGTTCCTATGTGGACTGATAAGTTAGATCTATGTTGGTATGCTTATTGATTGCAAACTTATTTGAATCCTATGTTAATTATGATTCTTGGTCACTTCTAGTTGAAGTATGTGTTGACGATGTTGCCTCGAACGACTTTGAACGCTTCCCAACTAAATAACTCATTTCGAGGATCATGACAACACCTTCAAAAACAAACACTTGAGCTGCAAGTTTTCTTCATTACTTCGTAGCTGAAAATTCCTTACTCATATATTTAGACATATTAACAATATTTTAATAGTTGAATTCATGAGCCGATCTAAGCTAGACCACCAATGAAAACCTGAAAGCACTGGATAGCCGTTTCATCCTAGTATGGGACTCCTCAGCAATGGTCATTCACGATCCCATACCAAAGGGACTCAAGCCCAGGACGTTCGGACCTGCTTGTGAACACTTAAACTTTAGACCACTGAGTGGGCATCCAACGTGTTAATGTCTAACTTCAGTGGATCCATAATCTTGTGTAACCATTCATTCATTGTCTGAGGTAGATACCTGTTTCTATCTGATACGGACTGAACCCCACTGGTCACAGCCTCTCACTAGAATTCCAGGAAATCCATCTTGAAGCCAGTCACTAATGGGTATATTATAATTATGTGCTTAGGTTGACTTACGAATTCAACTATTAAATTACTACAATCTCCACAAACCCTCATTCTGACAATATTAAAAATAGTCAATTATATCCCAATAACCAATACTATGCAAATCTGTTTCTTAGTGCTGATCGAATTAGATCAAATTAGTGGCCATGTAGTCACTAGCCCAAGTAACCCTATAAAATATTTTAACTTTGCTGGACTTGTTAGATCTAGTTTTCGCAGTACATGGGCGTAAATGACTACTAGTCCTTATTGTAATCCATGTATGATAGTCTAACTTAATGTAAAATAACTGGTTTAATAAGAATAGTTTATCAAACTTAAATGTGTAGTATATATTGGCTTATACTTTATATGAGAAAAACATGTTATGTTAATTAGATAGCAGCCCTATCTTTGAAATAAAGATAATTTTAATAATGAATGGACACTAGCTGTAAAGCTCGAAATCACTATGGCGTTGTTTTATCACAGTGAGGAGTTCTCATCAATCCGCACTAACGAGCCCAGAAGGGATTTGACCATGGGTCTTTATAAAGCACCACTGTAATATTTAGTAAGAATTCCCTAATCTGCTTCTTTGAATTCAGTTTTTTAACAGTGTGGTGCAGCCGTCATTCATCTGCTCCAGTCCCTATTCACTAACTCCATAGGTCAATATGAATTACCAACTTTTGAAAAGTCTGTCTTTGAGGTGGTCATTAATCAAGGTGAGTCACGTCCGAATTCCATATTATTTGAAAATAGTTTACATTAAGAACTGACAATGAAGATACCAAGAACCGATAAATTACGTATTAAAACTAACACCCTGCCTGTCATTCATTTAACTTCTTTAAATTAATCAATCCTTTTTATTCATAAACTAGTCCCAAGTATTACACTTTAAAATAAAATAATGAGCCGAAGCCAACAGAAGCTTCAGAATTTTAAAGTTTTATCAATCGTAGAACAACCAAAGATTACAATGAAATATTTTCGTTCTTAAATAAATTTGACTAAATATGTTAGTGAGTTCGTGTCATAATAATCGATTTCGTTTGTTTCATTTGATCAAAGGAAGAAGTTTATATGTAGTTCATAGTTTACATCATGAGTTAACTGTAAATAAGTGGTCATTGAAAACAAAGGAGTCACTGGACGGCTGTTTCAGCCTGGTATTAAACTTATCAGAAGTCCAGAACAACGACCTTTCCACAGATTGAATAGAGTCTTTTCAAGCTTCTCATTGAACGTGCCACAAATTTAAACCACTGAGTTGGCTCCAAAATGATTTTGATCTTCAACTTCAGTCAGTTTACGATAACGCACAACTATAAGCCATCGTCATCGGTGGTACCTACCATAGTGATTATCTTCTAAACTAATTTTGATCA